AGAACAGGAACCTGCTTGAAAACAGCAATTATGCTGAGTCAGGCTTGATTTTTAATAATCTTTTCCTGTTAAATAAATAAATCAAATCAAATCAAGGAGGATCAGAGTATTAATTGCCAAGTATTTAGATTTTTATACTATCACTTTAAAATAAAATTGTTTACMTTGTTAGTCATTTATAAAATGAAGAATCTGAGGCTGAGCTAAAACCTTTCTGCCTGCGGTTATTGTAATTAACTTGATAATCAGACKGAATAAAACTTTGAAAATAACTCACATAAAAAAAACAAAATAAATGTTGTCGAAAGAATTAGTTTTGTTTTGATAAATGAAAATTAATCTTTATCCTAGATTGTTACATCAAATCTAATTATTTAACAAATTCCTCAAACTAGTTATTCTCCAAATAATGTATAGATTTTTTTTATTTTTGTCCATTATTTTAATAAATTTAAATTAGTTTTGTAAAATAAAAAAATATACAAAAAAATTATTCTTTATGTAAATATTCATCTGTACTGGTAAACAAGTTCCCTGTATAAATACAGACTTCACTTGAGTGGTTTAGACTGATTACAAAAGGGTGAATAAATTAACTAAGCTGTTATTCTCAAACAACAACTGTGGCATGTRAAGTCTGAAAAAGTGCAGTCTTGAAAAATTTTTGCTTAAGTGATGCCAACAGCCAAATATCCACCAAGTTGGACACAACAACAGATAATATTTGAATCTTTTAGGCTGTAAGTCAGTTAGCTGTTAGCTTGGTTTCAAGTCAGGAATTCCTCAAATTCTTTGGTTTCCTCAGCAGGTTTGACCACTTAGTAGTGCTGAATATAACCCTCACCACAAAAATACTGTACTTAAGTTCTCACTCATCCAGAAGATCACTGCAATTCAGCTCATCACAAGTGATACAATTCTACTTTTGTTTTTTGATTTTATATTTTTCTCTTTTTTACTAAATAATGGGTAACTGCAGTTTTACAAAGCGATTTGCAGTATTATTCATTCACACAAACACACAAAAAGCAGTGGAGTTGCTTGACATTAAGAGCAACTTGGGCCCTGTCGACACAACTCTATAGATTTTTTTTGCTCCGTTCACAAATACACTAATGTAGATTTAGATTAGGCAAAGATATTCTTTGCAAGACGTGTCAAAATCAGTTTTCACTGACTCGGCTGCATGATGACAATTACGCTTTCTGTACACAAGCTCCTAGCAGAAGCTTTTTCTTATGCGCCAAGTATCATGTGATTGGTCAGAACTGGGCAGGCATGTCTATGCAGAAAAGCAGGCGAACCACAATCAATGAGGTAAATTCAGAGCATAGTCCACTGTGGTACAACACCATATTGGAAGGGGCGGGCTGTCAATGTCAACAATTTATCAGGGTTAGAGTTCTGCTTAGAATTGCATATAAATGTGTATGTGTACACGTATAAATATGTATATATTTTTACTTTGAGTCTTCTTTTTTTTGTTAAATAGGGGCAGATATTATAAGATCTTTTTCTTCTGCTGCTTCCCTTCATTTTATGAGATTTGTGGGGTTTTTTGTATTGAAATTTTTGTTTTTAATAGAAATGAATAAACTATTAAACTAAAACTAAAAACCTAACTAAATATTTCTCATCAGTTAGCCTCATTGATTTTTCCGGATATAATATACACGAAAAAACATTTCTATCAAATCAAAATAATGGTTGTCAATAGCAAACAAAGTTTCACTGATGTGCTGGCCTAAATTAACATGTCATGGTTCCTATGTTTACCGCATTCAGCTTCAACTGGGGAACAGTACTGTCTGGTGAGTTTTCCTGGCCATGAACAATATGGCCACTCTCTCCGATAGCACCTCTACTCAATACATCTAATAACTACAATAAAGAAATAAAGATTTATCTCCAAAAACTGCCAATCATCTGGTAATAAAAACCACTGGAGTGTTGTGAACGGGGCCTATAGCATCTTTTAGCTCCAGGACACTTCAGCACCATGTTAAGCTTGGAATCAAACTACAGACCGCCTGATCTGACCGGAGCCAGAACTGCCCACTGTCGTCAAGAACTTACAAATTTCAAGTGAAAACTATATCCGTATTCTCTTAAAGGACAGTTTCATGTATTTGTACCCTTCACTCAACACTAAACAGATAAACCTTTAGGTTGATGGTTGTGGTGTTTATCAGTCACTCATTAGGTGAAAACAAAACAAAAACTGTTTCGCTCTTGGACCTTTTCAGCGAACARGTGGGAGGGGTGTAGAGATTAAAGTCGAGGGAATGAGGAAACAAAATCATGACAACCACTGAAGCAGAAACTTGTCCCTTGAGTAGCTCCAGTGTTGCCAGGAAGTCAGGAGAGTTTCTGTACATCTCAATGATTACTTCTGGCACTCGAGTCCTGTTTYTTATTGTTGCTTTTGTTAAATTAACAAACAAATTCAGATCCCACAGAAGAATCTGATCCATAGGAGGGAACCACAAGGCTGATATGTGAGGACATGACTTTTCATTTCATTGAACCGTTATGGATTCCACAACAATTAGATGTTGCTGGGTGTTTATTTTTTTAGCACTATTGCACTCACTTCTTTCAGAGTTCCCTTTAATTTTTTGTACAAAAGTAAAATTTTAACTATAAAGGCTTTTGTTTGATAGCATAACATGCTCTTCCCTCTACAGCTCTTCAAATCTGAGCCCTCCCATTAGCAGCTCTTTGACATTAAATTAATTCACTAAAATTAACAAAAATAAATAAATAAAAAGCTAGCAGCAACAGATGCTTAAGATGCTTATGGCACTAAGTGTAAAATAAAATTTCAAAAATGACARAGCATTTTTATTATTTAGCTCACTCTTCTTACATTTTGTTAAATTTTATGAAATGTTTAATTTACATGATATCTGTAAATACTAAAACCTAAGTGTAAAAAGTAGATTTTAAAATGCGGTGGCTAAATGTTGAAGTTTACGTTTAAGAATCGCAGAGTGCATCGCGACCTTTGCTGTTGGTGCATGGCTTTTGTTGTGATGTCATCATTCTGAGACAAATGAAACCGCTAACACTGCTAATGCTGTTAGCACTGCTAACACTGCTAACGCTTCACTCCAAGTCTTCAACTTGCAGTTGCAACTCTGAGCTGCACTTCAAAGGGCCGTACCACAGGTACCATCCATAATCTTTTCAATTAACACATTTTGATTTTAAATATCATCTTCAGCAGTGTTAGCAGCGTTTGCGTTAACAGTGTTAGCATTTGCMTTTGTCMCTGGAAGATTACATCACAAGAGCCGAGCATCAAAGGCTGTGTCCACAGGCCGGGTCCTCCGGAGGACCCAGACTACCCTGTCGAGGTGGGCCGGGTCCTTGGTAGACCGGGAAGACCGGAAAAAAAGAGGCTGTGAATTTGGACGGTCTAGCCTCCCCTCCTTACCCCGGCGTACATCATGTCACCTAGCAACTATGATGACGCTAAAAAAGTAAACTTAAATCAAAACTAGAAAAATATCAATACATTAGCATTATTAATATCACAAAACTATAAAATTAACTTAAAGGTATCATTTGAAGAACTAATTGACCCGCTGTAGGTTCATGTTTATTTCGCGTTTTTTATGATGAAAAAATAATATTTAAAAACATGTCCATACAAATGATAAAAGTATAAGAATTACAACCGCTAAATTTTTTTTATTTTTATATCACCATATTTTTATTTAAAATGTATTCTTTTCTCTCGCTTCGTCCGCCATTACTAGCTTAAAAAAATCTCCGGTCGGGCCGCAATGCATTATGGGATATGCTGGGCCGGGAAGGATCCATCGGACCTGTCCTTCGATTCGGGCCAAAGGAAGGATGTATTTGTCGGCCGCATCGGAGGAGTCTTCGGTTTTGGACGTCCTTCGTCGCGGCGCTGTGACGTATGCGGCCGACGAATTCGACCTTCGGAGGACCCGTCCTGCCGTTTTGGACACAGCCAAAGGCTGAGTTCCATTCTGAAATACTTAAATGTAAACTTGATCATTTAGATGTAACATTTAAGATTTCATAATATTTTGTAAAAAACAGATAAAATGTAAGAACAGTGAGCTAAATAAAAATGTCTTAATGACATATTTTAACATATTATTTTACACTTGACGCCCCATAAAGATGAGGCTTTACATGGCAACAAATCTGTGTTCATTCAATAGCAATAAAAAAACATTTAATTGAAATGCTCTCTATGTGCAGTGCTCAGTAATTTCCAAGAAGCTGATGGAACTCCTAGAGGAGCTTATCATTTAGTCTAAATGAAATGAYCACACCCAGAAAATCAACACGGGCGGGACGCTGCGTCCCATCAAACATCTAAAGACGACGGCACGCATCAGTCGAAAAGGTCCAATAAATTTCAACGGRAAGAAAGAAAAAACAACACTGTTGGAGTCATGTGTTTTTTTCAGGGTAAACCCTATCACCCATCGCCGGGCGGGACAGTTCTAGATGTGTTAAGTTATTTTCTCTAGTGAGAGAGGACCTGCACATAGAACCCCTGACGCTCCCGAGGCGGCCCTTGAAGGAGCAGCCGAAGAAGTGCAGCATGCCGGGAGAAAAAATGATGAAGACCCAYGGGTCGAGGATGGAGTTGGCGGAGATGAAGAGGAGCGCCAGCCGGTCGTACACGTGTGACTCCTCCGTCCTGATGGAGTTGATGTACACCCGGATCTGTGGAAATCAACSGAGAAAACCAGATCATGTTATTTGGGTGTAAACCCAGGTGCCAACGCCAGGCTCACAGACAAACAGAGGCATCCTGCTCACAAATCCAACATTAAACACTTCTCTGATGCAGACTGGGACTGGCTCACTGCAGCCAAGAGAAGAACAGGAACTGAAATCAGACAAACTCGTCATGTTTTCTGTATTTGATGACATTAMAAATAGAAGCCTTAAGGAAATCATTAAAAAGAAACAGCCAAAGTGTCAWGTCTAATCAACTTCTTGTTTCTGTTTATTTTTGTACAATGATGATCCAACCCAATGTTCTCCTAGAGAAAAASAAACTCCACCCTCTTTCAGTTGTAGGGAATTGAAAGGAAAGTCCAGCCCATGACCGTACAGCTTACAGAACCTCAGTTAGACTGGAAACATGTGAACTGGTTAGATCAGCTGCWGTGTTTGGGATCATTGTTCTGTTGGACCCAGTTTGGTCCAGATTACATTGGTCACACAGATGAACTCACATTGAGCTCTGGAACCCTTTGGTCTACAGAGGGGTTCATGGTCCACTCAGAGACTGCAAGGAGCCCAAACCATCAGTCCTCTACCAWCGTGCTGACAGCTGGGAGGAGCCGTTTGATTTTCAATAAATGTAGCCCAGTGTGGCTAAGCAATACTACTTTGGTCTCATCCATCCAAAGGACYCTGTTCCACAWCTGAACRTGCTGACTGAGGCCTGRAGACTTTGACCAACAAGCTGCTCACGGAGGTCTGTTTGGTCTGACATGGAGCTAATTTCTCTGATCACTARACAGTCTGACCTTCAGGATGACTTTGCTGCCACTCTTGTGAAGACCGGCAGGGATCCTGAAGGTTTTCCACTTCTAAATAATCTCTCTCTGTAGAATGATGGACTACTTATTAGTGGAGAAATGACATTTGGACTTTACCAGATGGATAAGCAGCAACAGCTGCTCCTCTGAGGTCACTGCTGATGTGTTTCCATCTTGGCGTTGTGTCGTCACACACCATCAGTTCATTAACAGATTTGAACAGCAACTCCTGGTTGATCTGGTAGAAGCAGCAAGGCTGGATTTAACTTTCCTGCAACATTTTCTCTTTGTGTTTAATAAACAATTACTTTGTGGGACCTGTTTTTTTTACAGTCGAGTTCACATGAGGTTAAATTTGAATAATTTTACAAACTGATAAAGACCTAATCTTTTTTTT